CTGTTCACTGAACGTTATGTATAAAAAAAAATATAGAATGAGATTTAAAGATTAAAATATGGAAATGAAAAGGTATCAGTGCGTAAAGAAAACATTATTGTTTTTTAGAATTGGCTACTTTTCGTTATACATGTAGCTCCCCCCCCCTTTCCCCTAATTTTGTGTAAATGTATACGTTAGTGTTAAAACAGAATACACGAAATTAATAAATTTACCTTTTACCTTCTCTTCCTTTCTTTAAGTTTTTAAATTCAAATAAACGTACATATATAATGTATAGTGTTATAATATAATAAAAATAATTGTTATGTGTATATTTGGATCTGTTGGGCATCTCATTGCTTTAGACAATACTGAAAAATTGGGTTCACGATAGTCCTTGATATCGCTTACAGCAGGCTTGCTGCCTTAATGAGAGTATTCAGCATTGGAAATTCAATTTACTTCTTGATTTAGAAGAAAGTATTGGAATTTCTGTCAAAAAACAAGCTTAGCCCCGGTGTGATTATCTTTTCCTTGCATTATTCAAGACCACTCCTCAGAAATACAATCTATATTGAAAATATTGTCAACTGCAAAAAGATACTGTCTATATAAAAGTACAGATTGTGTGGATACGACTACAAAGCTTCCAGATTTCCAATTTTTTATTAGAGCTAACATAACTCAGTATTAATCTTTCATTTGAAAAATATCCTAATTACTTAAGATCAAATTGTGTATTATGCACATTTATATGCCATTTCATTCGATCAGTATGTGATACATACAGTTTCTCACATACTTTTACTAAAACGCTGTTGAAAAATGGGGGGGGGGGGAATAAATTAAAAAATAACAATTGTCTTTGAAATTTTAGTTTCTATATTGTGTTGAAATTTCCAGGGAAAGAAATGTGGTTATGGGTATTTCCAAAAAGTTTGATGTCCTCTTTTCCTTAATTTAATAACAGGAATGTAAGCGAAGAAAAAAAAAGCTTCTCCCAAAATGATTTTATACATTGGGCCTTTACTGAAATATACAGACAAATACAAAGATTTCTAAGTAGTCTTGCTTTTTTTAAGAGTTCGTTATGATTGGATTAATGTTTACAAAACTGAATTGCTCTCGAATTAGATATTACTGTGATTAAATATTATACATGTTGAAATACGGAAATGTAACTATTTCAACGAGGCAAATTGTCTATCAGAAACAATCTATAAATTATTGTAATATATTTAAAAAATTCTTCAAAATATATATACCTCTTTTCGCCATCCGTTGGTTCTTCAAGCTAAAGAAGATGAAATTATCTTTGAATTATTATTGAAAATTTTCTAAATGTTTTTAAAAAAAAATTTTCTGAAAAAAAAAAAATAGAAAAGAAAAAATATTTCCGGAAATGGCCTGCTTTTTAGTAAGGTGGACATCTATGATGTACAGTGATATTAATTATTCATAATTAATATCTAATTAAGATATATAAAAACACAATTTTTGACGCAGATGAAAAGGCTACTTTGATTAATTAGAAAGACAGTGTAGAAGATCAATATTTCAATATAACTATTTCTTACAGAGGTACCACACTCCTGTTGAAAACATGTCATTGTTATGTATCAAATAATAACAGTAGGTAAAATTATTCTTAACATAATGGTACATAATTAAATACCCAGTAGTAAGTTTACGTCTTATTTTTCTTCTTTTAATTAATTTGCTGAAAGTGATGCACATTACCAGTCCACTGCAAATCAAAACAAGGTGTGTTTGTGAAACATAGATGCACAAGGAATATACATGTGAAATATGAAAGACCGTGCACCAACAGTTCAAAAGTTATGATCAAGATTAAAGTTTTTAAGAAGTAGGTAAACTCCAAGGTCAAGGTTAAAAGATAAAAAAAATGTTGGGACTCAAAGAAAGGTCACAAGTAATACACAAGCAGAATATAAAAACCCTAACACCAATTGTTCTGAAGTTATGACCAAGGTTGAAGTTTTTTCTAAAGAAGGTCATACTCCAAGGTCAAGGTCATGAAGTCTAAAATGTTGGTACCTCAAGAAAGGTCTTGTCACAAACAATACACTTGTGAAATATGAAATCCCTAGCATCGTCAATTTCTAAAAAAGGATGTCAAATTCAAAGGTCATGGTTAAAAGGTAAAAAAATGTTGTTACCCAAGGGGAGGTTTTGTCAAAAGTAATATGTGAAATATGAAAGTCCTATCATCAAATGTTCCAAAGGTATGGCCAAGGTATAATTTTTCAAAAGTAGAACATACTTCAAGGTCAAGGTCGAAAGGTAAAAAAATGTAGTACCCAAGGGAAGGTCTTGTCACAGGTAATACTCGTGAAATATGAAGTCCTAGCACCAACTATTCAAAAGTTATACAAAAGGCACAAGTAAAAAACAAGAACAATATCAAAAAAACTAGCACCAATTGTTCTAAAGTTATGACCAAGATTAAAGTTTTTTTCTAAGAAGGTCATACTCCAAGGTCAAGGTCATGAGGTCTTAAATGTTGGTACATTAAGAAAGGTCTTGTCACAAAAATATGAAAGCCGTAGCACCAACAATTCAGAGATAAAAAAATCAGAAAGGAGGTCAAATTCCAAGGTCATGGTTAAAGGTAAAACTGTTGTTAACCAAGGGAAGGTCTTGTCAAAAGTAATATGTGAAATATGAAAGCCCTACCATCAAATGTTCCAAAGATATGACCAAGGTGAAAGTTTTTCAAAAGTAGAATATACTTCCAAGGTCAAGGTCGAAAGGTAAAAAATGTTGATACCCAGGGGAAGTCTTGTCACAAGTAGTACACATGTGAAATAAGCCCTAGAACCAACTGTTCAAAAATTATGGCCAAGTTTAAAGTTTTCAAAAGTAGGTCACACTCTAAGATTAAGGTGAGGAGTTCAAAAATTTTTGGTACCCAATGAAAGGCCTTGTCACAAGAAATACACATGTAAAATATGAAAGCCCTAGCACTAACCATTGAAAAGTTACGTCCATGTTAAAAATAGGTAAAAATTTGCAAAAGTGGGTCAAACTCCAAGGTCAAGAGGTCAAATATATTGTTACCTACAGAAAGGTTTTGTCACAAGGAATACACTTGTGAAATATGAAAACCCCAGCTTGAACCAATCAAAAGTTATGGGCAAGGTTAAAGCTTTTAGACACACAACAGACAAACCAAAAGCAGAAAATCGAATCTTCGATTACGGGGGCATAACTAGACTACAAAAGAAGCCTATGCCAAATTTATTTGAGTCGGCTATTGAGGTTGGAAGAATTTACCAGTATTCTTTCCTGACACTGATAGAAAACGATGAAACTGTGTATCAGTTCTTTTCGGCACCTGAAATTGAAAGCTTGCGTGTTTCTTCTTGACCTTTAGGGGTTTTTGAAACGCAATAGAAATCTATTTCATCGATTTGCCCATCAAACTCTGAGAGAGAAAATTTTCCCTCACCGAAATGCCAATTAATGATCTTTAAATGAACCCATCCTTGCACTTTTATGATACGTTTCTTTTCATGCGCACTTAAACATATTTTTCCCAGCTACTCACTGATAACGATATTTATTGATACAGGGGACTCATCAATTACCATTATTCCAGTTTCGTTTAATGATGAATACTCTCTTTTCTAGATTAATTTGATATCTTTGGTAGTAAACTAGTATGGCACAGGAGCGGAAAAATATGTGTTCTGTCATGAAATAAGTTATTTATACCCGCATTCTCTAAAGAAAGTTCGGGTTTATTGTTGTAATCCTGGTCCGTCCGTCTGTCACACTATCTTCTTCCTTAAACTTCTTTTACATTTTAAGTAAGCTGACATTAGAACTCATCTTTTGGAATATGATTGGTAGTGCCTTGAACATATGCAAACAGGTTTTGAATTTTTAATTTTTACCCTTGGGGCAAAATTCTGGTTCCCTGAACTCCTCTTACATTTTTCGCAGTAGTTAACTCCTCTTTTGAAGTATGATTGATGGTGTACTGAAGATGTGCAATAAGGTTTCGAAATTTACATTTTTACCCAGGAGGGTAATAAAAACCTGTTTTTCTACAAAAACCTGGTTCCTTGAACTCATCAAACATTTTTGCAGTTGCCAACTAATCTTTTGGAATATGATTGGTAGTGTCCTGCAGATTTGCAATAAGGTTCGGAATTTTCATTTTCATCCTAGGGGCCAAATGGGGGACAAAATCCGTCGTTTTTCTACAAAAACCTGGTTCTCTGAACTCCTATTGCATATTTTGCAGATACCAACTCGTCTTTTGGAATATGATCGGTGGTGTCCTGTAGATGTGCAATAAAGTTTCGGAATTTTTCATTTTCACACTAGGGTCCATTGGGGGTCAAAAAACATCGTTTTTTTTCTTTAAAAACCTAGAATTTGATTTTTACCCTGGGGGCCAAATAGGGGTAAAAAAGAACCCCAGCATTTTTCTACAAAAGCCTGTTCCTTGAACTCTTTTTTACATTTCTCGCAGTAGCCAATTTATCTTTTGGAATATGATTGGTGGTGTCCTGAAGTTGTGCAATAAGGTTTCAGAATTTCAGTTTTCACCCTGGGGGCGATTTAGGGTCAAAATCTTTTTTTTTTAATTTATTTTTGTTTTGTACAAGAGCCTGGTTCCCTGAACTCTTTCTGCATTTTTCACAGCAGCTCAATCATGTGTCGGAATAAGTCTGGGGTTGCCCTGTAGATCTTGTGATCCTCAGTAATTTCAAAGAGCTGAAACTCACAATACTCGATTAACATAAAGGTAAACATTTACTGTAAGAGTATATTCTACATAGAATACATAAAATCTAAACCGTTTAAACTAAGGGGGAGGTTTAAAATGCGGATGAAATACTATATAGTAAATATTGGGGGGGGGGGGCTTTACTTTTGTGGAAGGTTTACTATCTGACAGTGTCAAAGGGACACATTTATTTTACCCTAGTTATAAAGTAAGTTAGAGACATACATTTAATTAAATGTACTTTCTTATTTTTCAGAACACCGATAATCAGACTTCTGAAATGCACGCCAGGAAAGACCGAGGACGACATGATAATAACTATCCAGCCAGGAACTGTACACGTACGTATGGAATAAAGGAAAGAAAGAAAATGTAAACATGTACCTAAAAGGAGGGAAAAATACACTTTAATAAAAGTATTTGCACGTCATCAAATATTCGACAACAAGAAAAAATAAATCTAAACAAATACTGTACTCAAATTCAGATTTTTAGTTTTTTTCCCTTTCTTTCAGCTTTCCTATACAATCTTTTCATATATTTTAATCTATGAGAATGGTACTTCCATTTTAATTTTCACCATACATTGGTTAATGAGAACAGATCGCAAAACATATTTCCCAAAATTAATTAATTTGATTTGTGTTCTTGAGACAGCAATGTGTCTTGTCGAATGTTGTATATGGTGAGTGCCCAGTAGTCGTTACCATTTGTTTGTTGATCATTGTACCTTGGGTCACGTGCTACAATATTACGTTAAACATGGCTGATTTTTAAAGAGTAGCAAAGAAAGCGCCTGTACAATAACAAAGAGTAAAATATTCACAGGAAACATACCTAATTATACATATGCACAAGCAAAAGCCGCTCCTGCACTACTACGCTTTTTACAGTTTCTAAATACCGGTATATTTTTCACCATGCGCCACACTGGGTATTTTCAATTGTTTATACTTGAGTCAGCCGTTATAAAAGATGATATGATAAAGATTTTATAATATTATACTGAAATTATTACGTAGGAATACATGTATAGAAAAAGTGATGAAAAATTTGTGATTTATTTTAGAAATACCAATCATAAAATGATTAAATCAAATGAAGATAAAGATTAGATTGATTCTTGTTGAAAAATGCAATTTCAGTCACTAGGAATTTGTTCCAATTCTGTTTTTATTTTTCTTGGCCTCATATTTGCTGTTACAATCATGTACATTCGAGTGCTCGACTACTGATCCAAAACAAATATGGCCGACAGAAATTTCACATGTTTTGTGCCTCGATAATGAATTGAATAATGGACTTTAATATATTCAAGGTTATACACAGAAAATTAGACTTTAACATGGTATGTTAAAATATCAGGTGAAATATACAAAAATTTTATTTAACTTCCACCTAGCACAGTTACTCTCTTAAGTGCACGACTCCTGGGCACCCGGTGGTGTATATATGAAATGTACACCAATATTAATACCTATCCCGCAATGATCTGTTCACAGAATACACCTGTGTGCGATATCTTGAAATTTTACAATTCATGAGATGATGTTTGACGAGTAATTTTATAAAAATATCAAAAGAGAATTAAAGTCCTACTTAGTGTAAAGCATAAACTGTAATATACCGGAAGTTACATTTTTGTATGCTAAAGCATCTGTGCAGTTAGTAGAGATGTTGATTTTATTTCAGATCGACCATCGGAATTAAACGAGGGAAATCCTCTACTTGCAGACAGTGCCAATATGCCAAAGAGGAGGTACCTCCGATTATTACAGAGACACATACTAAGAATGTGTTGTCATTGCTCGTGTATAATGAATGGCAATGACGTCACTTAGAAACAGGAGTGAAGTGAACCTTGAATGTTTTCACCCCTTCAAAGATTTAAGCATTCTTCATTTTTTTAATGAAGCCTATTTCATATTATGTTGAAAATACAAATCTTTTGTTGTAATAAAAAAAGTGTTGAAAATAAAATCTTTACTTTGTTGTAAAAAAAATACTGGTAATTATAATAATTGTTTAATTTTTCACAAGAAAGGCTTTGTTTTGAACTATTACTTTATAGACTTTTTCTTGAATGTAATTGTCTACAGAGTTGACTTCCATATAAGTACATGTACCTGAGTTAATCATGATTGCAGGGTATGTATAATATTTCAAAGTTACAAAGAATATTGCTTTTGTTGTAATAATTTTCTTTAGTTTAATTATTATCCTTATTTAGTCATTAAATATGTTATCTGAAAATATAGCGGAATTTGTTTAGAATGTGGATGGATTTTCTCTCCGAATTTGTTAACACTGCATTGAGATCGGTAAAACAAACCTTTGTTTGGGCTATCGCTTACGTAAGACCTACATGTATGTCATGTCCCGCTTCCCTCTCTAAATATGTGATCATTATTTAATTAAGTGGCAATATAAATTGTCATGACGGTAAGTTTTAGTTCGAGTCTCGCTTAGGACGTTTTTTAAAAACCTTTTTAAAGGCAATTTAGTCATTTGTCAGTTTGTTTTTATTTACTGATTTTTTTTTTTTTTTTTTTTTTTTTTTTTTTTTTGAATTCTAATATTAAAAAAAAATTGAATTTTAATTCTGGAGTTAGGGTGGGGTCATATTGATCATATGGTGAAATGCATAAATTCTTTGAAAATCTTCACTCCCCTGCATATATAGCAGACAAACTAAGTGTATGGTTATAATAAGCAAAAATTGCGAAATTCATGGGTCAGGGGTTCTGGAATTAGGGCGGGGCTCTATTGATCATATACATGTAGTGAAAATGCATGCATTCTTTGAAATTCTTCTCTGCTCTTGAGTATAACAGAGAACCTAAGTGCATATTTATAATGAGCAATCGTGATTCTTCCAAAATCGTGAAATTCATGGCCCTTGGTACGTGGATTCTGGAGTTTAGACTGGGCTCTATTCATATAAAGTGAAAATGCATTTATCCTTTAAAAATCTTCTCTGCACTTGAGTATCAGAGGTTCAGAGCTAAATCACATATCTTTATTATTGACTAAGTCATAATAAACCATTTTTTCATAAAGATTAATAATCTTGATATGTTATCATGCAGTAAAACTTGTTTATCTTTCATGGTGGATGAAATATCTTGCCTTTTCTTCCAGTGAATTTTAGTTAATATAATATTTATCATTTTCTTCAACCAAGGCGCTTTTACATTTATTTATATCTTCCAAAAGGCCACAAATATCTATTAAGTTTAAATAATTCTCAGCCATAAGGCCTATAATCCCCGATTCCTCAAAAGTTTATGGTTTGTTTCAAAATCGTAGGTAAGGTAAAAGCTCTATAAATGAATTTTCGGTAAGGTAAGAGCTTTATCAAGAAATTTTCAATAATAAATATACATCAAAGAAAACAATCTCTACTGAAAGGAAGTCTATACTTATATCACATGTATATGCCCTTATTTATTTTGTTACTATAGTGGTTTGCTTAGTTAATTCTATGATGAATTTTTGAAGGTATCAGTTAAGGAATGTTTTTAAGTTTTGTGTGAATTATTGGTGTGTAAATCACACAGACTTGTCACGTAGGCATATTTCATGAAGCGCGCTATATTTACATTTTACAAGTTTGAAAGCACCAATAATATACTCAGTATTTGAATTTCTTGCTGTCCTATATCGTTACATTTTTATTAACGTCTCTGTAGCCTCATTGTGACGTCACTTTAGAGCGAGTTTCACCGTGTATATTTCTACGTGTTAGTATACACAAAAATGACTTTCAAATCAATTTCACAGTTGGCTTAGTAGAAAAACACAGCAAATGTAAATATTGATGTTTGAAGGAACGCTGCAGACCTTTTTACCTTGGAAGAAGAACTGAAGTACTTTACAGTCTTCGGACTATGCACTTCCCTTTTTAAGAGTTCTTTTGTCGAAAATGGATATAAACGATTCTAATAGGTTTTCCTTGCGTTAAACCCATATTTTATCCCAAACTAAAATAAATAAATATAAATAACGGCAAAGGTTGCGAATTTGTTCATGTCCAAAAATAAATTGCACAACTGTTGGTTTTTGTTTTTTGTTTTTGTTTTTTTTTTGTTCATGAATGCGTTAGACAATTCATTTCAAAAGAATAAAATTAGAACTGTAAATTTTTATCATTAATAACTAAATTATATATTCTAGTATCTAATGAAAGTCTCAGAGTTTCATTATAATTAGGATTGGTTAAGACATAAACCAGAATTTTTTCACTGATGTTTTCCTGAATACATTCATTGAGTACACCTTTCGGTAACCAACGAGAAGAATACAGCTGGATTAGAAAACTAGACACAACCTTTCCATATGGCAGCAATGACAAAGTCGATAGTGTTGGGAATCTTTCAAGTCCACAGTGTAGCAATGTGAATGTGATGGGACTTTTTAACAATACACAGAGACGTAAGCGTAGTCATGGATATCGGTCTTACAAAAAACTTATTATACACGACGTCTCCTTTGATTAACTACTACCTTATGTAAATAAACATTTAGGCCTTCATCACATTCGCACTTAACTTTACTCTGTCCCTTTGAAAGTTTTTAAAAAGTCTATTTAAAAAACTCAAGAAAAGTCCACATTTGGATTCTTCGACACCAGAATACAGGCTCGGATCTGTGATTACGGATATTGCAAAATATAGGCTTTTTTAAACCGCAACGTTTTACGGAAGAAAATACTGCTGAAACCCGCTTGTTCCTTAAACTTCAATATGCTAACAAAGGAATTGACATATAAGTAATATTCTTAATCACAAAAGGGTCCAGTCTTGTATTCCACCATATTTCAAGTTGAAGTCCACACCTTGTATTTCTCACAAATATACATCGTCTATTGCTTTCAAACTTTTTAATTACAAAAGAACTCGACAGTGCCTAGATATCGAACATCTGAAACATAATCCTCCATCGTGATCATGTTCTTCTTCACCCTACAACTATAGCCCTGCTGGACACTTCATTACTGGTGACGTTAATATAGTTAATAATGAGGACCTTAAATCACTTATTTTAAAAAGGCCAACACTTTGGGAACCCCGATCTTTCAACTGGCGTCATAATTGCATAAATATTATGAATTCTGTGGAAGATTACGCCAGGCGATGGGCCAAACATGAAAAAGAAGACCTTGAAACTTTGTCATCAGATGGATGTTAACATTACGCATTAAGCGATTAAGGGGCAATATGAAAACCATCTGTCTTTCTGTCTTCAATAATTCAGAAGTGAAAAAAGAATTAGATTACACGATCAGTATATACTGGTCCAAGCTGACAAAGCAGGTAACAACATTGTCTTTGTTTATAAGGCTCATTATTTTAATTGTATTTTAGAAGAACTGGGATTTAATTCTGCAAGTGGTAATCCAATGTATACCCACAGCTCCCTTTCTATTGAAGAAGGTCTTCAAAATCATGCGTCAGTTTTAAATATTTTTAATATTCCCAACAATCAGAATGAATTTTGATTACATTGCCTATACTGGATTCCTAAACTTCATAAAAATCCTTCCAGTAAATGTTCTACCAAGTCTCTTTCTTTACTCTTCACTAAAATATGAACAGCAGTGAAGGAGAAACTGTACAACAATATATTCGAGATGTGGTGTAATTCAGATGTGGATAGTTAAAAGCTTCAAGGAACTTTTAGAAAATTTTAAATCACAAAATTTTAAATTACCAAAATCTTTAAATTACCAAAATCAATGACATCAAAACGTACGACTTTTCAACACTTTATACAAGTATTCCCCAAGAAAAATTAAAGTCCAGGCTTTTTGACATCATTGACAGCTGCTTTTTCAATAAAAATGGCACTTACCTTGTCATTGTTCTTTTGCAAAATTATTTTGTTAAAAAACATTCTGATTGTACACACAAGTTAACTCTAAAGTAGATATTAAAAGATGCTTGAGTTTCTGATTGATAATATCTATGTAGTTTTTGGAGATCAGATCTTCCAACAATCTTTCGGAATTTCCATGGGTACAAATTGCGCCCGTTATTTATTTTTGTATTCATATGAAGCAGAATTTATTCAAAAACTTATACATGTCAAGAAGACACTTACGGTGGCCTTCAACTCAACAATTAGATATATCGATGACATATTATCAATTAACAATAGTTGCTTCCATTCATATGACGACTCGATATATCCTAGTGAACTTGAAATAAAAGAAATTCCACAGAGTCTGGCACATCTGTTTCATATCTGGATATTTTACTAGAAAAAGACGTTAATGGTAACCTAACAACAAAACTTTATGATGAACGTGATGACTTCAACTTTTCTATCGTCAACTTAGCAATATACCCTTATCACCTGCATATGGGGTTTATGTCTCCCAGTTGATTCGATATGCAAGATCATAAAATTTCTAAAACGAGGTAAGCTATTGACAGACAGGTTTATGAAACAAGAATATCAGCAGTCTAGTTTAAAGTCGTCATTCTGCAAGTTCTATGGCCGATACAATGACCTTGTCAGTAAATACAATCTATCATAAAGTTAAATGCTGACTGACGTTTTTCATACTAATTGTTAGGCTATATTTACACATTGAATTGTCTACGGATTTCTCCGTTTTTCCTGATCATGACAAGGAGCACTCAGCGAGTGTGACCGTTCGGCAGGGGATGCTTACTCCTCTATGGTACCTGATTCAACCTCTGATGTTTTTTAGAGATCCGCATTTGCTCTGTTCCCGATTTGTATTGTTTCAATGGACTTTTGAGCTTGATTACTGTTCGTTATCTTCATATTTCATTCCTAGAATTTGTAGATTTCCAGATACGGAATTGGAATTGCCTCTCCTCAGTGCCTTAAGCAGGTGTCATCTTTTCTCCAGACGATCTAGAAGACGTGTAAAGTAATCAAACCGATATAAAGGACACCATTTCTGAAGAATTGATGGGAATGCAATTTACACTCTCATTACTTTCCATTTGGTAGGTTTCAAATACTC